ACTTGTGGCCACAAGACTGAGGCAGAAACAGTCATCCCCTGGTCTGGCATATGCTGAGGGATCCTTATCACACCCAGGCCATGGCAACCATGCCCAGTGTCCAGCACTGAGTGGCCCAGAGCTGTGCCCTGAGCCCTTCCAGCCTACACAGTGGCCAGTGAAGCCTTAGCTGCTCCCCTTCAGTGACAACCAGAGATTGTCCAAAGCCAGGAATTGGCTTGTTTGCCCTGAAACCCCCATGGCTGGTGCTGACCCAGGCTGGATCTGCTCCTCCCTGGCTAGGCTCTGCTGGCATCACCTCCTCAACTTTCCTGACAGGCCAGGCAGCCAGAAGCATGTGGCTGGGATCAATGCCTGCTCAGCACAGCTGTTTCTACCCCACAGAGACCACATCATGGGGATGATCACACTTTGCTCCCCTCAGTGCAGACCTGGCCAGGGTGGTGACAATTCTGGCTAACAATACCAAAGGGGTCATCAGGGCTTTGAAGAAGGTGGTGGATAGGAACTGAGGCCACTGGGGAGACAGACACGGGGATCAGGATCCTGTGCCAGGGCCTGAAGTAAGCTCTCTGGGGACTGGGGACACCAGCATAGCAGAACTGGCCTGACATGGCCAGGTGAAAAGGTCCTCCTGGCTGATAGGCAAGAGGAGGCTGATCTGCAGGAGTTGATGGTGGGAGAGAAACCTCCAGAGGATGGATGGAAGGATGCATTACAGAAGGAAGACAACAGATATGAGGCGGGCAGATGGAAGAGGCAAGATTTTCACCTCAGTACTGTACTTAGAGGCAGAACGGTGCTGGGACCTGGTCAAGGTCACAATGATCACGTTAACATGGGTGACATGACAAAAACAAGGCACCCACAATATCATACAGCCTCCCCAACGAGAGGATGCAGCAAACAACTATTTTTATGCTTAGAGGGCCCTGTAGTAACCTAACCCTTTGGGGACCCTAAGCTTTCATGTCCTCCTCTAGCTCATGACATTTACCAGAACAAAGTTGGGAGACTCCCTGAAGGATCCCTATGAGCACAAAAAAAGCTTACCAAAACATAGAACCGAATATTTAAGCCCTAAAAGAAGGAATACCAATTCTTATTTTTGTTTAAAATATACTTTCAAATGAATTAATGTGGCAATGCTCACTCAACAAATAATAGGGCTTTATTCCATTTTTATGCACTGTTGGGTGCACGTAGGCAGGAGCTCAGCCTTTTAAGAATGTTCATGGCACCTCAGCCAGAACCCTCAAAAAAAATACAAACAAACCAGAGGACAGACAAAGGCACAGAAGACACTGAGCCCCAGGGCCGGGCAGAGGTGGAACTGCCAGAGGTCCTGGTGCTTCAGAGCACAGAGGGTACCCAGTTAAGAGTATCCCAGGGCTCTGGCTGGATCTCAAGAACAGAGAGTGGCACAGCTGGTGGCTATGTGCACACGTAGGCTAGGGTTCCTCACGAACCAGTGTGGAGTAGTCAGCGCTATGGATCAGAGAACATGCATTCCACCCTTGGCTTTGGAGTGAGGTCCAGCTGAGCATGAGTCAGTAGAGGCTGCTAGACCCCAGGCCAATAGGGCTGTACAGGGCAAGGGTCTTCAGTCAACAGGCTTGTGAGAACAAGCTACATTGCATCTAGTATGCAAGGAAGGCATGATCAGCTGCTGGAACTGCCCAAGAGTTCTGCTGCCAGCTGGGTTTGATCCTGCAGGCAGCAGAACTCCTAAGGGCCAGAAGCCCCCTCTAACTTTGTTGGAGCTGTGTTTGAGATTTATTTGGTAGGAGTATTTAAAATAAACTGTGAAGGGAGAAATGGGACATCTTGTGACAAAGGTGAAAGGAGAGACAGCAGCGATCCCAAGACTGAGGTGAGGAATACAGTCACTTGTGGGATCCGATGGGGGTGGTAGGAAATAGGGCCCTAATCGGTGACACACTATTCAATGACTGGATGTAAAAGCAACTCTTCATTGCTCCCGTTCTTGAAGGTGTTTACTGCAGACAGTGATCTGCCCAAATAAGTATTTCCAGAATGACCATATTGAATACCAAGTATGTGCCAAGTATGTGGTAGGTAAGAGGGGCACAGTCCTGATTCTCCAGATTCCAACAGTGATGGTGTTAAGACCATTCAATAGAGAAAGCACATTGTCTCTGCAATAATAGTGCTGGGAAGGAAAAGTAAATACTTATGTGCAAAAGAATGAAGTTGGCCCCAATCTTGTGCCATGTACAAAATTAATTCAAAACAGATCAAAGACCTCAATGTAAAAGCTAAAATTACAAAGCTCTTAAAAGAAAAGGTAGGGGTCAGTTTTCATGAGCTCAGGGTTTGTGATGATCCTTAGACATGGTGTCAAAAAGTATAAGCAGCAAGGGAAACACATACATCAGACTTTACCAAAATTACAACTCTGTGCCATAAACAATACTGTATCATTGACAAAGTGAAAACATAACCACAGCACAGGAGAACACATTTCCAAATCTTCTCTCTGGCAAGGGATTAAAATCTAGAACATGAAAAGAAATCATAATTAAATGATTTAGAAAATGCGCATGAGGCTGGGAGTGTAGCTCAGGAGTAGAGAATATGCTTAGCATCTGCAAGGCCCTTGGTTCAACTTCCAGGAGGAGAAAAAAAACGTTAAAATAAGGGAAAATAAGTGATGGAGATGTGGCTCAGTGGTAAAATACTTGCTTAGTATGCCTTGGGTTCAGCCTCCAGAATCACAAAAATAAATAAATGAAATAAAAATGAGCAAATGATCTGAATAGAAACCTCTTCAAAAAGATATACAAAAGCCAATACAGATACAAAGGTGCTCAATGTCATTTGCCACAGCCCACTTCATCACCATGCTCAAGAGGGAAATTTGGCACTGGCCTGCAGGCAGGTGGGAGGAGGATTGCGCTGTGGAAAATTCTGCCAGAACCCATGCCAGACGGAGAAAATGAACCCCATGGACAGCAAGAAGGCCTGAAGGGAAAGGAGCAGCCCTCTCAGGCAGTGAGTTGGGCACTGGCTGAAGCAGCTCCAGCTCCCCAGAGACACCTAAAACATGACCAGAGGATGCAGGGCCTCAGTTCAGGGGAGGGCAGTCTTTAATAAGAGTGCTAGGACAACTGGAATAAGCGTCAAAACCAGAAAGTCAGACCCACACTTCACACTATACATGAGAATAAGCTCCAAGTGGATTCAAGATCTAAGAGAAAAATAAAAATTTGACGGAAGAGGTGCTGCTCATTGGTAGAGTGCACGTTTGTTACCTTACATGCACAAAGTCCTGGGTTTGATCTCCAGCATCACAAAAAAACAAAATAAAACAAAGCAAAGCAAAAAACACAAAATTAAAAGTATGCCAGCACCATGAAAAAACATGGCACATTTCCCTATTGCCTGGATGAAGGTGATTAAATACCCAGATGCACTAACAGAACAGACAGGTACATCTGGCTACAAAAAAAACTTAAAGCTTTTACATGGCAAAGGACACTACATGTAAAAAAGATTTTGAGTTTCTGGACATATGCAATATAAATTATAAATAAAGGGCTTGTATCCTTTATATGCAAAATTGATCATGAAAAGGTGAAAAATACTAAGGGAAAATGAACAAAAGATAAGAGCATTACACAGTGAACTGTGATATACAGATGATGTTATCTGTGCCCACATAGCCCATCATCAAAGACAAAACCCAAGCTGCACACAGACCTCACACTCAGGTCACACGCCTGGTCAGAGGCTCTCCTAAGGAAGGCTGGAGGTAGCTGCCCTAGGGACACTACACACAAACCCAGGGGTGTGTGGCAACACCACTTTGTGCAGTCATCTTCTGACTTGCAAGTCCTGGCGGGAGGTTATCTCAAAACCTGCCTCCAAAAGCACAAAGTTATAGGCACAGGCTGCTCACTACAGCATCTCTGTAACTAGACAGGCCTTGAACATTCCACCTAGGACTGCTGCGTAAATCCTGGGGAACATACAGCTCTGGCTCAGGAAGCTGTCCCACAGAGGATCACACAAAGGCAAAAGGTGTAATTTCCAGGGAGGCCATAGTCAGACAAAGGCCACATACTGAGGGACATATGCAGGCAGAGGCCTCTGTGTGAAGACAAAGAAATATGAGAAACCATATTGCCACCTGTTCTTTTATGAAGGAGAGGGACTAGAAGTTCCCCTACCTGCAATAGGGGTGGGACTTGAAAAAGTAGGCCTTACTCAATGCATCTCATGTATTATCTTAATATATAAGAGCAAAGTCTCACTCACTGAATATTCTGTTTATTAACAGGTGACAACTACTTTCAAAAGGACTAGGGAAATGCCACATAGTACAGCAGAGTCAGCTTCACAACTGGACCAGGGTGGTAGAGGAAATCAAAGCCTCAAGCCAGCACCAGATCTACTCATAATGACGAGTGTCCTGCTCACATGGAGGGTGGGTGGGGGGTTACCTAAAGACACACTCAAGGATTGAGGCTGAGGCAACAGGCAATCTGCTCAAAATTATCTGAAAAAGGGACCGAGTAACCGATGTTAATATAGGTGACTCCAGGGAAGGGTACATGAGTGGTCCTGCCACTGCTCTTATTCTTCTCTGCTTCTTTTTTTTTCCTTGTACTGGGGATGGAACTCAGGACCTTGTGCTTGTAAGACAGGCATGGTGCCAATGAGCTAAATCCCCAGCCCTCCATTGTTCTTACTCTTGCAACTTTTCTATAAACATGAAACTGTTTCCAAATAAAAAGTTGAAAAGTAGGAAAATAAAATGTAATGCTCTATATCTACTTGTATTGGTGTGCGTGGATGCCCAGAAGAACTTAAAGGACTGGGCCCACACAGGGCTCTTGTGGGATATGTGGCCTCTACAGATGGCCACTGTGGGGAGGCTCCAGGAACAGTGCGGCCTCCATGAGGCTCTGAAAATTGTTCCCTCATACTTTCCTGAGGCTGGGACAACTCAGCAGGTTAGGATGGTATCTCCTCACCTGGTGCTTGATCCTGGAATCCTGGACTCCTGCCCGTCAACATGATGGCTCCGGCACTCATAATCCTGTGTCTGGGACATTGCCACCTGTCTCCTGAGTGCCAAGGTGAACAGACGTCAAAGGATCATCAGGATGCCTCCTCCAGTCAGACAGGAAGGGGCCACACTATGAGAGAATAAGAAGCACTTAAGCACCGATTTGGAAAATACCAGATTATACTAACAACCAAGGCCAGCTCTCACAGGACCAGTGGCTGGGGAGATGAATAGCAGCCAAGCTCAGTCCCTCACGCCCAGTCCCTCCTATGCAGCCTTGGATCTGTACACCATGTGCCCACTAACCGTGGTACACACAGAGCCAGGGCTGGCCACAGGAGCATGGAAGGACCACATGGCTTGAGGTGCTCAGAGCCATGTAGCCTGCTGTGCCTTCACACACACACACACACACACACACACACACACACACACACATATATCTATATCTATAGATAGATATAGATAGATATATCTGTGTTTCCCTGTTCTCAGTGTAGATGTGGGTAGATACCACCACTCCCCCTGAAGCCACTGTGCAATGAAGCAGGATAGCGAAAGCATATGCATGGCCCTGCCTAGGACAGCATTCCCAGGCACTCAGACAGCGCAAATCTCCTGACTTGTGACCCTCCTCATAGATGGCACATGCCAGCAGACACACAGGAAAAACATAAACTAGACCCTCCACTCATCCATGATATAAAACTTAGTTCTAGGTAAACTTGGATCTAAATGGTAAAAGTAAAGCAAAGCCAAGTATGGTGGTGTGCACTTGTAACCCCAGCTACTCAGGAGGCAGAGGCAGGAGTATCACAAGCTTGAGGCCAATGTGGACAACTTAGTGAGACCCTGTCTCAAAATTAAAAAAAAAAAATTAAGGGCTAGGAAAGTAACTCAGTAGTAAAGAACCTTTGGGTTCAATCCCCAATACTGCAAACAAAACAAAACAAAACAAAAAAACAACAATCAAAAAACCAAACACAAACAAAAGTAAAACAATATAGCCTTTAGTAAAAATGAAGTGAACATGGTTGGGGATGTAGTTTAGCAGTACCATGACAGCCTGGCAAGCACGAGGTCCTAAGTTAATTCCCAGTACCGAAATAAAAAAATAAAGTGAGCTTCAGAGGGGGCAGAAGGTGCCTGAGTCAGACATAAAGCCAAGACTCAAAGGAAAAGTCAGTGAGCTGGACTATAATAAAGTTAAGAATATCTGTTCATCAAGAATCACTGAGATTAAAATAATCCTTAATTCTGAAGATGAAAATGGTCCCTTAACATATTTAAATTGCTTCTTGCTCTTGTAGTCTTATTCTTTTTTCATTATTTAGAGAATACTTTATTAGTTTCTGTAATCCAACTCACGTAAATATTACATATTTAATACAGTGCGTTATCCCTGTACAAATGGGAAAAATAAATTAAAAAAATTAACATTTCTAGACCAATATGGCTGTCCATTTCTGTACAATGCCAACTCAACACAGTAAATTGGGATAACTTTTTCCAAAATTGACAGCACCATTAAAGTTTCCAAAAAGTCAAATTATATATATGTATATATATATTTATATTTATATAAAAAGAACAACAATAGCAGTATGTTATACATCAATAGCAGCAACAGCTTTTCCAGGTTCTGCAGTCATCTGAACAAAATTATAGACATTCAGCACATTGCGTTAAAAAAAAAAACAAAAAACAAAAAAACAAAGAAAAGAATAATATCCAGAAAACAGCAAAGTTCATTGCCTTTTCTCTTTTACTTTCCTTTTTAGTTTTATTTTAGGATTCCCTATTTTTAATGTTCATAAAGAGATTTCTTTAACTGAAATAAATACCAAATAGTTTCTGTGGTGTGAAAAACTATAACAGTACACAGGATCCTAATGAGATAATAATGTGAAATAGTAAGTAAAGGGCTAAAGGTGTAGGGAAAGTGGGAAGGGTGGGGGAAAGGCAATAAGGGAGAGGAAAAAAATGTGAGAAATTGAAAAAATGGAAATAAAGTGTTTGTAAATGGGGAGGGGAGGAGAGGGTGAAGGAAGGGCAGGGACAAGGGGAAAAAAATGAGAATCAAGACCTATTATGTAAAGGTACAGGATCCCAATAATGAATGTAACTGTATTGTATACCTAGATTGTACCAATAAACTCAATAAAAAGAAAAAAAAAAAAAGAATCACTGAGAGGCCAGGCATGGTGACACACGCCTATAATCCCAGCACTCGGAGGCTGAGGCAGGAGGATCGCTGAGTTTGAGACCAGCCTGGGCTACGTAGTGAGTTCCAGGTCAGTCTCAACTACATAGTGAAACCTTGTCTCAAAAAACAAAACAAAACAAAACAAAACAACAACAACAAACAAAAGCTCATAAAAAAGAAACCACTGAGAGTACAGATGGCAAATCTATCATAGGAAGCATCTAGGAGAGTTTGCACAGTGTAGTATGTGTGAGCAGTGTGACAAAAGGCATATCCAAATCATATGAATGATTAATGGCAATAGAAGATGGACAGAAGTTATGAAAATGTACTCAATTTCATTCACCATCATAGAATACTAACTATTCTGCATAATATGATAGAACAAAATAGCTAAAACTGAAAACAAAACTACCCAGTGCTGTAAAGTACAAAGAACAAGAATGCTCAACACCACTCTCAGTTCTAACCACTCGAGATGGAAGCCTGGCAGCATTTTCTAAAGCTCAACATATACTCTCGCAGTCCCAGGCTTCCTCCTCAAGATGAAGGGCCCAGGTCACACGAGCTCACGGAGACTGTTCCTGACAGTCGGAGTCCAGGCACAGGATGAGAGGCCCTCAGAGTACATGCAGATCTGCTCAGCAGCCACTGTGGGGGTAAGAGATACCCTACAACCACCAGTGGGTCTCCCAGACAATATGAGGTTGACAGGAAGGATCCAGAGGCAATGACACACACTGCACAGTTCCTTTTCATAAAGTTCAAAGTCTGGTGAGAGCAGCCTCTGCCATTAATTAGAAGTCACAAGGGAAAGGCCCTGGGGACTGTGCTGCGGTCTCTAGTCAGGGTATACTGCTACTAGATGGGGCTGGCTCGTGAATGCCCAGAGTGGTCATGCACATGCCTGTACATTCTTCTGTGTGCCCAATTTCAATAATGGCTGTGACAGCAGTGCAGAGCAGGACACTGTCTCCTTGTGCACTGCCCACACCAGCTGGTGTCAAGGCTCAGTTCTCCAAAGGGGACCATTCCATGGATACTAACTGCTAATTCAGGGGGGAATTTAAAGATTCAAAGGACCAAGTAAAGGCACAGCCAGCCATGGTGTCAGGAGGAAGAGATATTGTAGGCCAGTTAGAAACTATATCCCAGGTAGACTGCAGAGCCACAAATCCAACCTAAGACCACTTAGTCACATGGTGAACTCTCCCTGGGGGAAATGCTCTAAGCCTTTTCCTTTCTGCCACTTGGGTTATCCACACATTCATTTATTTAGATGAATATGATGACTAGGAGTGCTATTTTTAAACATGAAACACAAATGTTCTTAATTTGAGAGAAAACAGGTGACCTTGTATGGGTTTAGCATTTAAAAAAATAGCACTGTCAATGCAATTCTGTAAAACTACAAGGTACCTATGAAGGCCTGAAAGTAACTATCATCAAACACCTGCACTCTTTTTCCTCGTCCCCCAGACTGGCCTGAGGCAGACGGGCAAGCAGCCCACACCAAGGCTACTGCATGAAGCCTCAGGCCAACACCCCTTCCAGACAGCCTTCTCCACTCAGGACACTGCTCAGAGACCCTGGTGAGCTGGTCCTTGCACCCTGGCTTCATTTCTGTAATCCTTTTGCTCCTTTCTGTGACCTTCAGAAAGAGGTTTTCAGCCTCTACAACACAGCCTGCTGGAATTTAAAGTGTGGCTGTCTGAAACTGCAGTGCATGAAGAACACCAGAACCTGACCACTGGAGCTTCAGAGTCAGCAGAGGGACACTCTAGCTAGCCAGATCTGCTTTCTTCTAGAAATCCTGTATTTTGTTGTTTAAAAAAAAATTTTTTTTTGGTACTGGGAATCGAACTCGGGACCTTGTGCTTGCGAGGCAGGTGGTGGAACCATTGAGCTAAATCCCAGGCTCTTCTGTAGTTTTTAGTGTACAGATGTCATTGTCTTAATTGTACCCCAAAGTAATCCTTCTTTTCAAATAGGTAAAAACACAGAGCTAAGCAGGTTTTCAAATTTTTTCAAGTGAGCTTTCATAGTTCACTTCTTTCAAGTAATCGATTTCACAAGTAGTATCTGATGGCTTAAAGTCACCACACTGCTCCTTACCCCTGTGCTGTCCATGATGTGTGTCTTTCATTACTGATACTGGAAAGTTTTCATTCTTTATCCTAATCAGCCTGGCTCGAAGCTTGTCAATTTTTTTTTTTTTTTTTTTTTTTTTTTTTTTTGGTACTGGGGATTGAACTCGGGACCTTGCATTTGCAAGGCAGGTGGCAGAAACACTGAGCTAAATTGCTGGCCTTCCTTTTTCTAGTTTATTAGGGTGAAAGCACAGTTCAGTGATATGTATCTTAAAAAATAAAATCCAACTTAGTGTTTAGTCTTAAAATTTCCCAAGTATAGCTTTCATGACAACCTACAAATTTTGATGTGCTCTATTTTCATTTTCATTCTGTCAAAAAGCTTTCTGGGGCCAGGGATTTAGCTCCATGGTGCTGCTGCTACGAAAAAAAAAAAAAAAGCATTCTGATTTTCCTTTTGTTCTTTCACTCATACATATTTACCAGTAACTGCCAATTTCCTAGACATTTTTATTGATTTCTAATTTGTTTTCATCAGAGAACATATTTGAATGATTGAATTTGCTGTTTTGTTTTTATTTTGGTACCGAGGATTAAACTTGGGTCCTTGTGCTTGCGAGACAGGAAGCAGAACCACTGAGCTAAATCCCCGGCCCCGATTGAATTTAAGACATTTTATGGTCCAGAAAATCTATTTTGGTACTCACTGAATATTCATATTTTATCCCACAGTACCAGAAATGAATGTGGTGGAGGTGGAGTACATTATAAAGTCAATTAGGAGCTGGGCACACACCTGTAATCCCAGCACTCTGGAAGGCTGAGGCAGGAGGATCGCCGTGAGTTCCAGGCCAGCCTGGGCTACATAGTGAGTTCAATGCCAGTCTGAACTAACAGTGAGACCCTGACTCAAAAAGGACAAAACCCCAAATAATAAAGTCAACTAGATCAAACAGAGCAACAGTGCTGAGACTTTATTTTTCCAATCACTGACAAAGAAAAAAAAATTTCTGTTTGTGGTGCCGAGGATTGAACTCAGGACCTTGCACTTGCCAGGCAGGTGAGGTGTCACTGAGGCGCATCCCCAGTGACAAAGAAATATTGAAAGCCCTGCTCATCTGACAATGTAACTGTGTACTTATCCATTTCTCCTTGCAGTTCTATTGGTTTTGCTTCATATATTTATACCTCTACATTTGTGCTGTCTGGATAAATTAACCTTTACTGTTACGAAATACCTTTATCCTGGTGGTTTCCCTTGCTGTGTAATTAATATTTGGATTTTATAGCAACTTGTTTACTTTTTTGTATCAGGGATTGAACTCGGGTCCCGTCCTTGTGCTTGCAAGGCAGGCACAGCAGCACCACTGAGCTAAATCCCTGGCCCCCCAATTTACTTTCTTCCAGTTAGAACTTTTTTTGGTACTGGGGACCAAACTCGGGACCTTGTGCTCACAAGGCAGGTGCAGTGCCACTGAACTAAATCCTCGGCCCTCATCTTTCACTTTTAATCTTTATGTCTTTAAAGTGGCTTATTGTAAAAAGTATCTGAGTACTGATTTTCATGCCATCTGACAATGTGCTTTTTCTTGGGGTGACAGACCACCTACACTGAGGACTGTTGATACAGTGAAGCTTAAACTTAATATCTTGCTACTTGTTATCCATTCACTTCCTTTCCTCTTTTACTCCCTTTAGTATTCTATGTGTTTCAATTTTATTTCCATTGTTGACCTACCAGTGGTAGGTAATTCATTACAGTACTTCACTATCTTAGAGTTATAGTATTTGTATTTATCATAGTTTGCCTTCAAGTGAAATCACACCACTTCAAATATAAGAATTTATTTTCCCACTTTTTTTTTTTTTTTTAACTATTTTGCCATACACAGTGGACCATTTACTTACAAACTCAATTTGTTCACAAGGGCTGGTTGTAACTCAAGTTGGTTGACTGAAAGCTCAGGCTCCTCTACACAGCCTTCAAAGTCTTGTTCCTGTATACAGGCAAATTGTAGTGTCCTCAGAGAGAAATCGGCCCAGGATTTCTCATTTAACCCCACAGTGGAAAAAATGTAGTAATGTTTCTTCTAGAACTATTTACGGGTTAAATCTGTATCTGAGACCATTGGGAAGCATAAACAGCTGGCATTTGGGTAGTAAATCAAGGCTTTGTTCATAAATTAAACTAAAATTCAGGTCATAACCCAAGTTGTTCATATGTCAGGCTGGTCACAACTTGAGGGTCCACTTTATTTTATTTCTGTGTATATGTCCCCCACTCTGCTAATGTTATGCTTTTATTCAAACAATTTACATTTCAAAGAGATTAAAATGAGTATCATTACAACCAGGCAACACTCAGGAGGCTGAGGCAGGAGGATCAATGGGAATTTGAGGCCAGCCTGGGCTACACAGTGAGGTGAAGGCAAGCCTGCACTATAAAAACAAGACCCTAAAAAAAAAAAAGTATCATATATCTCCCCAGGAAGGTACCATTCCCAACATTCTTTGATGTAGATCAGATCTCCATCCTTCATTTCCTTGAGCCCAAAGATTTTTAACATTTCTTACAGTAAAGGTAATGAATGAACTGCTTTAGCCTTTGTATGTTTGGAAATGTCTCACTGCACTTTCATTTTTTAAAGGATAATTACATTGGGTATGGAATCTCAGATAGCAGGTTTCTTTGTGCTTTAGATACCAGTCTTCTCATTGCATCATTTTAGAGGACGAGAACCCTGCCAGTGCCTGCATTTTTGTTTCTCTGTAGGTAATATTTTTTTTTCCTGCTTAAAACATCTCTTTGTAGCTTGATTTGTAAGTAACTTGATTATGACATACTGTAATTTTCTTCATTTCTGTGAGAAAATTGTTCAATCTTGGCTTAGATTTTCCATCAAAGTTGAAGCTTTTAATTATTACTTCCCAGTCATTCTGTCCCTCCCTTCTTCAGGACCTCCATCGACACATCCACACAGACACATCAGGCCTCTGAATATTGTGTCACAGTTCAGAAATACTCTGTTTTGTAAATATGCTACTCTTTTGTTTCAGTCCGTGGTTTCCACTGCTTTGTCTTCAAATTCACGAACCTTTTCCTCTCCATTATCCAATCCAGTCAATCTCCGCCCACATAACTCTGTATCTGGACAGTGCAGCTCTGGTTTAATATGAACTTCAAGAACCTGCTGTGTCTGTAGGGAAAGTCCCTACCCTTTCCTTGGGTTGTGAACATATGGAATATAGTCATGGCTGTTGTGATCTTATCTGCTGAATCTAATATGTGTTAGTTTTACATTAGTTATGACTTTTTTTTTCACTGTACTATGGGCTGCATTTTCCTGTTTTGATACATTATAATGTATGAAATATATACATGTATAAAATAATAAGGTGTTCAGACTGGGATAAGCCTGTCTTCTTGGATCTTTGAGTGGAGTAGGACAAAGTTATCTATTCTGCCCCTTTGCTTACTTACTGGGCCATTTATTTTAGTTTGCATTTACCCTGTACTTTAATACAGTATGTTTTGTTTTTGCTCATATTGCCCCAGCTCTGGGCATTTAAAGCTTTAGTTGGCTCCTGAGTCCCTGACACGCCCTTATCCTTGTGGGGTTGTTTTTGTTTTAGCTCTTACTTTCAGCCTCTACCAGGGATGCTAGGCTCACCTTGTATATTCTATCAATGCACTTTTTCCCAGGACATACTAAGAGCTGGGCTCTTAGCATGCTTGTTACCATGGGCTGCTGTTTCTAGACTCCCTTGCTTTCAGAACAGAGCTGTGGTCTTGTATATGCTAACCCGAGTGTACACAAATATCTGCAAACATTTCTACATGCAGCTATTTGTTACGCTGCTCATATGCTCTTTACCACCATCTCTAACTGTAATCCATGGCTACATGGATCAACCCAGGCTCCTTCCTGCAGACTACCCTGAACTCCCATGGAAACAACTTCATCAAGTCCAGTGCTGTTGTGGCTTGTATCTAGGTATCATAGGTGGGGGTTTTTGGAGGTGGCTGGATCTAGGGTATGTGATAATGATACTAAGGATGCAATGCTAGGATTAACAGTTTGGTGCTTAGATTAAGGGTGCTCCATCCTAGGGACAGAAAGAGGGCTGCTACTGTTGCTTGCTGCTTGCTACTTCACTGCTGTGCCGCAGGCCGAGCCCAAAGATGGCCTTTTGCCTTGTCTCTACTCCCTTTCTCCTCCAGACTAAAGAGACACAAGACTGTAGATCCTGGATAGCACAGCTCCAGGAAACAGTTACATTAGGTACCCTTGTTTCTTTTTTGCGCATGCCCCATTCATGAGACAATCACTTTAAGCCTAGGCCATGTGGGTCACTGTGACACTAGTAATCCCGCCTTCCTACACATAAAGAGCACACTGGACGCCAAGTGGCCATTTACTCATCAGGCTATGGTCCCATCTGGTACCAGGTATCAAGAATAATCTTGGTCTCTTTGTCATCTTTTCATCATCTCCTACCACTCTCCCCAGATTCGCACCCTACACTGTGCAGGTTGCAGCACTGCCTTCCTGCCTTTTACCCACCCACGGACTATTTCTCCTCTGCGATGCCACCTTGCCTTGGAGCCAGCCAACTACGAACTGAAACCTCTACAAACTGTGAGCCAATATAAACTTTTCCTCCTTTAATTTCAGGTGTCAATTATTTTGTGTCAGCAACAAGAAAAGTAACTAAGACAAGTGCTATGTACTATTTATACTGCTGGGAAATTTTCTCACTTTATAACCATTATTGCTATTTCATATGTAACTGCATTGACAAAGATGCTTAAGAATGATTGCTAAAATTATAATGGCAAGCATTTTTGTTTTGATCCTAACTTTAGTCAAGTGATTACAGCCTAGGCTTTTCTCTGGATACTTATCAACTAATGCTTAGCTTTAAAAATGAGGGTAGTGGGGCTGGAGATTTAACTAAGTGGCACTGTACCTGCCTCCCAAACATAAGGTCCTGAGTTCGATCCGTGGTACCAAAAAAAAAAAAAAGAGGGCAATGGACTTAACATTTTCTTTTCTAACACCAGCTTGTGTTATTAGTTTTATGTTATCAATGTTTTTAAATGATTACATTCTCTCTTACAACCACAGATTTCAGTTGTTTAGCCCCATGGGCTCTGCAGGATCCTGCCCATTGATGCGTGTTCACAGAAGACTTTTCGTCATGCCATGCACACACAGAACGTGGATCTGTGTGAACTCTAGGACGCTTTGCTCTACACTGCCTTCTGGAACAGACTAAATGGTATGAGCCAGACGACTGGATTTGTATGAAGGAGTCTTCCTTAACAGAAGGATGTAAAGCTCACACTGGTGGTCATTTTGCATTCAATTCTTCCAGGAGCAGGATTGGTCCTTCAATACGCGAATACATCTTCCTTCATCCCTTGCTTTCCCTTCCCTCACATCACTGGGGTGATTCCTTCTCTGCACCTGCAGAGGAACAAATGGTGGCATCATGTCTCTCTTCTGGTCCTTCTGCCCAAGCATCTTCTCTCCAACCTCTTTATCTTCCTTCACACAGCACATTTTCTCCAATAGTCCCACTTTCTGGGTGACTAATTCTTTTTACATAGCATTCAAGCCATTTTTTTGCTGCTGCTAAAGGGAGGGTCTCACAAAGTAATGGGTTTACTGTCTACTTTTCTCACTTTTCTACTGCCTTTATCTCTATCTTTTTCTGAGCTCTTTTCTCCTTCATTTTGACTTTATAACTTCTTAGTATACAAAGAAAGTTCTATTTTCTGGGCTGATTTCTGGGCAAATTTCCATTCCCTGGGTTAATTCTACATTTTTTTTTCTTTAGCTGTCTACTCTCTTTATTCTTCCCCTACTACCAGTGTCTAAATGAGGGTGCCCTATTGACTGAATTGTCACTTATCTTTATGTATTTTGCAGTGCTGAGGACCAAACCCAGGGAGGGCCTTATGCATGCTAGGCAAGTACTCTACTACTGAGCTCCACCTTATTCACTACTACTTATCTTTAACAATAGAAGGGCAGGTCAGAGTTAGTGTGACCTCAAGCTGGGAATTGCCATAGACTCTCCTCTGCCAAACTTTCTGGAAGTCTCTGTCTGGAAGTATGTTTTTGGTATCAGCAGGTGTTTGGGTTACGAGTGACAGAAACCCAACTCAAAGAGGACTCAGAACACACATGCAGAGCCTGAGAAGTGGTGTCTCAAGACTGGAAATGGTGTCAGGCTCTGTGTACCACCAGCAGTTATAGGCTCAGAATCCTCTCTCCCCCAAATAGCATGCTCTCAGCGCCAAGCAGCTCAGGCATGAAGGCCTCCAGAAGGGTCCTGCACAACTACTGTGGCTCTGCTTCCCTCCTGCTGGTGTAGTACAGGAGCAGGTCCATGCAGGTGCTGAGGAGTATACTCAGTCCAAGGGACTGAGGAGGTTGACAGCTAGCTGCATTGCAGATAAGAGATACTTTCCTTCTCTAGCTGACCCATCAGAATCTGGATGTTGTTGAAAACAGGATTATCTCAGCCCACTTCCCTCCCACGTGCCCTAGCATATATCATACATCTAGCTCTATTTGAGCCACAGACCTCACTCTCCTCAGTGAATGCTCACCAATGCACCCCTCAAAATCACTCCATCCAGTGGTAGCCTGGCTCTGTAAGACCCAAATGAATGAGGATCCTCTTCTCAGCTGGCTGACATCCTTGTTCGCTGTGGCAACTCTCTGAGTCTTTGTAGATGAGATCTTGTTCCCTGCTTTTCATTCTTTGTGTTTATTTCAGTGAGTTTCAAGGAGGAGTTAGGATGAGCAAGTCATTGCTCAGTGGTATTTCCAGAAGGGTTAAGCTCCACTTTCAAAGCTCCTCTAAGGAGGTTCCAAGTCCTGCACAATGAGCTGGTTCATGACTGCCTGAGGGGACACAATGCCCCGTTCTCTAGACCAGCTTGGGCACAGCAGCCCCAGCAAGTAGCTTGGGCTCTGGCATCTAACGCCTTCACAGCTGCTCTCCCCAACTCCCCCTTCCCTAAGGGATGGCCATGTTGTCTAAGGCTAGATCCAGCTGCTATGGTCTGACCAGGCAGCCAGTCATGGCAACAGTACAATAGGTGAGGGAGTTTTAAAAACTATTCTGATAAGGAGAGAAAAGGATTCCCCTCACCCCTTTCTCCAGGCAGAAAGGAGCACAGTTAGGAGATAACCTTGCCTTGACACGTAAGGGTTTCTGACTATGAGGCCACTGATCAAACACCTGCTCCATCACTGTCACTGCTGGTACAATACAGGCACCAAATACTGGCTCTGCCTGCACTCAGCAGGTTCTTAGATGGATAGTCAAGACAGACACTGGACTGCCAATGTGACTCTTGCCTGTTCACAGGCACCAGTGATCAGAATAGCAGCCCAGCTGGGGACCCAGGCAGAGCACCCCCTTAGGGTCATGCATGTCCACAAATCCTGAAGGATTTGGCAGGCTGCCCTGGACTCTGAGACAGGAGCAAGAGAAGGAACAGCAGCTTGGGAGCACAGAGATCTGACTCCCTTTCCAGTCTGCACCTTGCCCACAAAGGACTTTGTCCTCAGACACTGCCTGGCCAGCAGGCTCTAGCCATTATCTTAGCTTCCCCAGGCTGAACTCCCAAAACCAAAGTGAGTGGAGAGGCTGCAACCTTCCACTCCTGAGAGTGTAGATACTTCATCACTGAACTGCCTCCACGGGTACCTGTGACCTTGGGGACAGCCCCTAATGGCAACATAGGGCTTCAGTGAGGAAGGATCCGTCTGGGGCAGTATGATAGCCTCAGGCACCAGAGAAGACCTGGGCCCCATAAAGTAATGTCAGCTTCAAATAGAACCATGAAGAACAGGGCATTTTTATTGTACCTCTTTATGAGATGACTGTTTAAAAACTCACCAAAAGCAAGTGTGTTGGGCCGGAGGTTTGGCTCAGTGGTTCTGCTGCCTGCCTCGCAAGCGCAAGGGCCTGAGTTCGATCTCCGATAAAAAAAAAAAAAAAAAAAGTGAGTGTGCTGCTGCAGGCCTATAATCTCAGCATTCTGGGAGGCTGAGGCAAAAGGATGGCAAATTTAAGCCAGCCAGAGCAACTTGGTGACTTTGCAAAACCGTCTCAAAATTAAAAAAAGACTGGGATAGAGATCATGGTGAAGACTCTAGTTCAACCTTAATACCACACATACAAACACAAAACACACAAACGCACACACAAGAACCCACCAAATAGTATCTTCTGCTCACCACTGTATGCCAAAGCTATGCAGCTGCTTAGTGAATCAACAAATACTGTTTTAAAATGAAAAACTGGCTGATGTCTTAAGAGAAGCCTCCCAAGTGATGATACTGGTTTTCCTTCTCACTTGTCACTTGCTCCTGGGGGGTTAGATTTACCTGCTCCAGACACCTCAGGATAGTGGGTATCACAGATGCCAGGAGGCCCAGAGCTCAACCTGCCCACTTAGTTCCACCTGGGCCACCTCAGCCAAAGCTTCATGAGATACCTTGGCCCAGTCCAGGAAGAAATGGGAGAATAAGTAAAACTTCTTAAATATATGTTAAGAGGGCTGGGGATTTAGCTCAGCAGTTTCACTGCCTGCCTCACAAGTGCAAGGACCCGAGTTTGATCCCCGGTACAAAAAAAAAAAAAGTATGTGCATATACACACACACACACACACACACACACATGATAAAAAAAATTGAAAAGACAAAAAGGGCAGGAGTAGATGGAGCATGACTCTTCTCACGTACTAGCTATGCTCATGGTTATCTGCTCCTTTTGGTGGTTATAGGCTCTGCTTTTGTCTTATATGCTGAATTCTAAATTCTATTATCAATGGAATGTAAGGTTTTAATTTTATTATGTTTTATTATTTGAGAAATGTTACATTTATTGAGATGCTGCATTTCTCCAAAACTCTGTGTTCCCTCCATCCTCATTTGTCTCACCCACCTATCTGGGCCCAGCCTTCCACCTGGCCACAGTCCATGTCTGGGGTCTGGTCTGGAGGCATCTGAGCAGGGCTAGTGTTAGTACCAGGGAGCCTGGCACTGTCATTTCCCACATGCTCATTCCTTGTGACTCAGGAGCCTCAGATGGCCTTCAAAGGCACCTGCTTCAGGCTATGAATGTGGACTCTGAACTTTGCTTGTTTCCATAGGAATCATCCTACCTACAGGTGGTGAAGGTCAAACTGCCATCCTATCAGAAGGACCCCTGACTCTGCTCTGACGGATTCCCACCAAAATGTTCCATGCATCAAGTGATTTTTTTTTTTTTTTTTACTAGTGAATGTTGCTATAGGTGCACATTCAGCACAAGGCAAGCAGAAATCATTCTGTCAAAGTTCAGCCTCCCTGGGCCTGGCTTCTTGGGGCATGGCACTGAGCAAGGCCACAGAGCCCCTCTCTGTTAGCACAACCTAAGCACTGGCTTCTGCCCTGCTCCCTGTACCTCTGAAATAGCTACCCCTTGCTCAGAAGTGATCAGGAGACAGTCCGAAGGGTGACTCATACCCAGTAGGTTGAGCCGTGGACCCAGGTCCAGCATCCCATTTCTTGCTGAAAGGGATGAGATGCTTACTCAGAGGGTGCCAGGGCTTGGCAGCATAGTACCTGCCGGCCCAGCATGGTCCATAAAAGTTGGCAGTTGTAACTCTAATCACAACTGCTGAGAAGCAATGCCAAGAAGCAGTAACTTCGCCTTGCTGTTTCCTGCCGTCCAGCATACAGTGGAGCAGGGCACACAGGCACAGGAAGCACATAACACTATCATGGTAGCTGTCTTTTTTTACAAGACTGTTCTGGGCATGGTGCTAGAGCAGGGCCATTCAGGCCCTGACAGAGAGCAGAGTTTATGCAGATACCAGCTGGCAGCTGCGGACACACTGTACCCCAAGAGCCAGTCTTCCCTAGTGGGCCCTGCCCCAGCAGGTGGGCCCACTCCCCAGGAGCAGCCAGGCTTGGCCACAGCCCACTCTAAGCCAGAGACACATAGGGAGCAGGACAGGTGCCACCCACATGATAGCACCAAGGCCTTCTGCTGGTTGCCATCCCCCACAGAGTCTGCTCCTCCTCCACCCTTCCTGAAGGAAAGTTCCAGTCCTGAGTGGGCGAGAAGGTTCTTGATTCCAACTTCCTACACGGAGTTCTGGAACAGAGCACGCTCTGTGCTGCTCCTGATGGGGTCTGTTCAGAGAATATGCCCGGAAAGCAGCAATCTGCTCCTGGTGCTGATAGAACCCTTTCGCACACCAGGCCCCACACTCCCATATCTGGGCATCTCCCTGCCTACCTCCAGGGCTGGTGGGCCATGTGTGTACATGTGTTCATACAGCACTGGTCCCAGAATGACTTCGATCCTGTCTGCCCCACACTGAGCTGCCTTGGCCTCCCCATCACCAGCTTGGTGTCTGAATAGATGACACAGTTCTGATAGTGACTACAAGG